GGCATGAAACTTTGACTGAAATTAAAAGTATTATTAGTATTATATAAGCAGTTAAAAAGATTAGGCGTACCTAAATTCCTTACTCATGTACATACATTACGGAAAATGCTTCATAATATGTCTTTAGCAGTAAAAATTTGTTTCTGCGGTACATGAGTGCAAATAGCTAATAAATTTAATTTGGACATCAACGGCATTAGCTGTTTCTATTTTAAGGACACATTTTAGCTATCACAGCTATACATTAACTCCTATTGTTAATCCTTTTTTTTCGTATACGGAACATTCCAGCAATATTGCAGCAATGTTGCTACTTGGGAATATGTGATGTTTAGGATATAAAGGATAAGAAACGAATGTAGGTTGTTCAAGAATAAATAATAGTAACGTTTATAGTGGAGTTTGTAGCTAATTATAAGGTATATGGATGGATGTGTGAGATTTAAGAGAAATTGTAAATTACACCCCTTCTTAGCATGTATGCTGAAATAATAAGATTCTAGTTCTATTACAGAGATCTAATTTGTTGTTGCTATGTTACAATTTAAATAATAGCATTTTCCACTCTAGACTTCGCGCGATTAATACATGTGGAAATTTCTATTTTTATCCTCCATCTGGGAGAATTTATCTTAGAATCGAAGCAGCGCAGATTAAATTCACTTGCAGAAGATAATCTAGCCATTAGCACGGTGCTATCTGTGCCGGCGATGAATCGACGGACTGGTTGACGGAAAAAAAGCGTGCTTTTGGAAAAGCGATTGACGCCGAATAAAAACAGCAGGTAACTTAGTTAAAGGGAGAGAAAAAGAGGAGTAACGAGGGTGGCAACAGCACGGGGTGACGGCAGCAAGAGTGGGCGAAATCGGAAACGATTGTCGCTCGCGTCCGTTCGAAAAGGCATCGGCGCCGACAATTTGCGCGTCAGGGAAATGCATGCTTCGATGGCAGCAGCTGCGGTACGTTATTGATACTACATTTCTCCCGATTTGACGAATTGCCATACCGGACTAATGGTCCGAATGCGAAGGCAGCAACCCCCTTCCGTTCCGACAATCGTCGTCTCTTGGCTCGGGTCTCGTAAAACTATAACCCGCTATAACTCATAACTCTCCCCGTCGAAGGAGGAGGAAAAGCCGAGCTGGAGGAACGCAGGCAGGATCGGAAAGGAAACGGCCGAAACTTATGCTCGGTTAGTCGGCATAGCTTAACGTTGGAGGTAAACGTGCTCGATACCTCCGCACTCGATCGCATTCGCGTTGATTTCCGTTTTGCCACAGGACTCTCGACGGAGGACTATTCCGGGAATCTAGCCGGTACTCGCTCGGGATGGCAATTCTACCACGTAACCGATTCCATTTGGTGGATTGTGAGTTGATCTTGCGTCCAAATTTTTTGTGATTGTTAGAGATTGCGCACCATAGATTCTTTGGCGAATCGATTTGTCGCAGCGTTAATTGGACGCGATTATCTTTTTCTTTTTCGTCGCTGGCGTCAAATAGTGTCTCGATTAAATTTTATTTATGCTTCAAAGATAAAATTAATGATGTGTGTTTATTGTATTTTTTTTTTATACTGTATTATATTTTATAAATAAATTAGTTGACTTTTAGTGATTAACATTCTTCTGTTCCGTTTTTAATGTGTAATTCATAACTGCTTAAGAGTATATACAATTACTAAATATTTATAATATTTTTTATTTTTTAAATTTACTTTAACATTAAATGTAAAATAAGATTACAATTAGATAGATAGATAATTTGGTTTATTGGCTTAACACATAGGTATATACAGCCATTTTACAGTAATTACAGATTACAATTACATTAGTTACAGATTACAATTACATATACATGTACATGTGGTGCCATCTGTCGCATTGCATCGAAACATCGACTTCATGCTTTGAAGTATCGAATGATTCTAATTTATCTATTGAGAAATATTAACTTTTGGAAACTTACAAAATCAATGAATAATTTTAAAAGTTAATTATTATTTATCTAATCGATTTTTTATTTTTAAAAATAAAATATTAAATAATTTTTCATTTTTTGAAATAAACTGCGTTTATTAAATAACATACATTTTGTAAATAAATACATAATTAAAGTGGTGAATTTTTTGTTTTTATTATTAATAGATGTTAGTGTAAGAAAGGAAAAAGAAGAAATGAAATTATATTACGTATAATGTTTTGCTAGCAGCATTCCTGGAATGATAATAGCGTCATTTAAAGTGTTCGCGTAATTAACGAAGCTAAAAACTTTTGACCCTTAATTACGTAGACCATTGTGCTAGAGTCCTTTCTTTCTCTCAGATGCAATGGAAAACACGAATACGCTTTACTGAAAAAAGAGCGCCCTGCATTCTACATTTATAACACACACCTTTCACGCAAATATTTTTCTTATATTACACAAAATTTCTTCATCAAAATATGAATTACTCGTTTAATAAAACAAATTTACTGTAAACTAAATTTAAAAAATGTAGTCTGATTATTAAAATAAAAATAAAAATTTTAATTAATTATCTCGTGTCTAATCAATTAATATTACATACATACGCATATTTTAAAACTTTAATAATATATATTATATATTATTACATAATTTTAAATCAATATATAATATATTTAATAATATATATTGATTTAAAATTACGAAATTGATTTGATGTGATCGATTACAGTCGCGCATAAGATGCAATCGACGTACATACATAGTGTTGTATATACGTACCAAAAATATATCTACACAAAAAGCTTATAGAAGCGAGTCTGGCATCATGCTCGGTATATGATCATACCTCCATTGTCTCTACGTTTGGTTGAGAAACGCCCATTCAACGGCTGTTTGTATGGATGAGTCCATAACGCTTATGCTTCCATGTTATTTCGGTAAATACTACCCATGGCATCCTATTGTTTCGAGAGTCGAATATTTATGTAAAACAAGCTGTTGTCAAGAGAATAACATTCTATTACCCGTGTAGATGCAATATATATATATTACATTATCTTGCATCGTGTTTCTACATGTTATATTATTTTATCGATTACATACATTCGCGCGTAACATGATGTGTCAAGCTCTCTCCTTAAAGAATCCGTAATATATATGTATAATCTTCGCTGGATCTTTAAATATTTTTAACAAGACAAAGAAATTTATTACTTTTGTATTTTATGTTAAGATAATAAAAAGATGATAGTACATGTATATATTAAATAATGAAATCTATCTCTTCAAATTATTTTTTCGATAATTTGCCAAATGTCTTATTTGACAAAGACACGTAAATCTTTTTTTTAATTTATCAGCTGCAAACAACCGTCGATCGGATCGCTTACTATTACTCGGTAAGACAGTCTCTTGAAAAGGTCCACCGGATAAACCGACTCGAAGAATTCTTGTAGGTATTTGTAAGAAAATTTGAAGCGTTTCCAAAAATATTTATTTTCACCATTGTCTTCAACAACATATGACTGTCATAAGACCGTCATAAATACAGGAAACGAAAGAATAAAAACGCATTAAATTTTACGAAATTTAGTTTGTATTTCCTTGAAAATTATACCCTTTGATTTTTTTTATGGTCTAACGCAATCATAAAAACATAACTGACCGTCATTACTCGCTTCCGTTTTATCTTAAAAAATTCCGTTAACTAAAAATTAGAAAATTTAAAAATACATTAAATATATGTTCTTCTTTTCAAATATTATTAATACATATTAATAGATTACTATCCTAATAATAATACAGAAAAGTTTTATATTTTTATTTGAAAAATATTTATTGATTTTTTATATTAAATTTAAATATAAATTTAAATATAAATTTAATATTATATCTAATTCTTACAAAATAGATAAATTTGTTCATAATATTTAGTAAAATTTAAATCTGTATAGAAAAATTTAATCTGTATCACTTTTCACGCTTGATAAAGCAGTTAGTTTTATTCGAGATAAACGCATGATGACAGCTGATTTTGACTGAGCAGGTATAATATATATTTGCCAAAAAGACGATTGCTTATAATATCCAATAACGCGACTAACAAGAAATTAATATGCTTCTGAAAGTCTAGTTTAAACTGAGCTGAACGTTCTCTTCCCTACCTATTGAGTTAGCTGGAGGCTTGCGAGAGTGGGTGGGTCCGACACGCGGTCGATTCAAGAACCGAATCGGCCGGCTGGTACCGGCACGACTGGTAGGGAGAGACGGATGCCGTGTAACAGTCGGGGCCCTTGGGGCCCCACTAGCGACTCAAGAGGGGAGAACAGGGGGTAAAGGCACATTCCAAGGCAGAACGGCTGCCAGTGAAGGTGGAAAGCTCCAACACTCTCACGATATCCTGCTCCGCGTCTCGTCTCCTATTTGCTCGTCGCGGTCTTTACTCTATCTTGATATAACGAACGTGTAAATTTTATCGGGGACCATCGGAATATTGTCGGAATATCAGAGAAATTTTTATTTTCGTTTACGTGTTCTGCAGATCATATTTCTAGAGTTCATTGAATTCTAGTGATTGTGCGAACCGACCTGTGTGGCGAAATGAGTAAATCGTGAACATTTCGTCAGTTATTGACGACAAAAATTGTGTATAATTATTGCTGTTTTGTGATTTTGTGCTACTCAGTATTATCGTAACATCAATTATCAATATAAATTTTTACGGAAAATAAGTATGCTAATCCCTTCGATAATTAACTCTTCAAGAATTCATTCATCGTTAAAATTGTGAGACTTAAAACGTTAAAACTGATATTAATGGTGAATTCCTAATTTTATGAAAAATTATTAAGTTACTATTATTAAGAGTGATTAATTGTAAATATTTAACAGTTCCTTTCAAAAGCTTCTTTGTGATTTCATCATTTATAGTCCACGACAATAATTTATAAAATCAGTAACTGATCGTTTAATATTGTTTCATCAAGAGACTCTGTATAAAAAATTCGCCGATCAGCGAAATTTTATTCGTCAACGAAGGAATTTTCGAGATTCTTACATCTGTTGCACCGGCTTGGTACCCCTCCTGCTCTTCGCCGTGGAACTGCCATGGTCCCTTACTTTGTGACGCTTCAAGAAACATCACAGCGTCATTAAGCATCGCATTAACAATTGGGATCAAGACAGAGATAACGACTTTGGATCACACACCTTTCAAAGATGCATCTCGGAGTTACAGGAGACTATTCCCGAGGGATAACGAGAAACGAGGACTGTTCTGTCGCACAACGGGGAACTCTTGCATCGTGTGCAGATCTTCGGGTATGCGGAAGACACAACGCAGCCGTCGGGCGACAGTGATTGAGAGAATCCGGCCAACTTCAAATAGGAAAACCGACTCACAGGTGAGCGCAAAGACAACGTTATGTTTCGATCGCGCTGCAGATTGCAACAGGACTAAGGCCCAGTTCCACAACTCACGGTTAATTCTTAATCGAGGTTCAACTTGTTTCTCATCTCTTTCCAATTCTAGAATTAGAAAGAGACAATGAATAAGTTGAACCTCAGTTAAGAGTTAACCGTGAGTTGTGGAACTGAGCCTAAGTGCAGTCGTGCGATTTCGTAACGCGCGTGCGAAATCCGGGGTCTGTACCGTCAACGAAAAGGTCGTCATTTCTTCTCACGGTCTTGCAACCGCGCCGGTGAGCCGTATCGCAAAGAGCAACCTGAAGAAACTCTTGAGCATGATTCACATAATTGATTATCGTTCTCAGACAAATCTAAATTTTCGGAATTTAGATTTATTTACACATTCTATACTGCATCATAATTTTCGGATGGTAGTTTGTATTTCGCATATTAAAATTTTCACAGATGCAGGCAATTTTAATGTCGGACATTCCTATTCGGCAAATCAGTTTTGATTTAACTCGAAAAGTTCATTTCGCGATTCCGAAATTACGAGAACGCTTTCTGATTGATAGATTAATCGATTAAATTGGGTAAAATTTGTAATTATGAGAACTACACAAAAATGTTCTTTGTAAGAGCTCATGGTTTGCCGACGAACGAACGATTTTTCGGATAAGCTAAATTAAATCCACGTACTGTGAACATATTCCCATTCTTGCCAACTACTGCGAGATCATCGAACAACAGAAAAAACTTGCGGCGTACGAGCACAAGCCATCGCCATCGAACTTGACCGTGGCCTTCGAAGTCTTTGCGCTCGTATAACGAGATACGAGGAATGTGAGCGGCCCAGAGTCACTGGTTGTACTTACGAAGACTTCGGACTGGTTACAGCAGCTAAATGTCTTATATCAAATAAATATGACGCGATATTGGAATCGGTACGTAATCGGTTTTACGAGGCAACATTTTTTGCACACTTATTAATTTTTGCAATATTTTTTTGCGTGGATGAGCGATATGCATAAATAGGAATTAATTTAATGAACTTCGACTGATATAACGATTTAAGAAATAACATAATAATCCAACATTGGTTACAATTTTATGACAATTAAAAAATGACACAGTCTCTGAAAAAAACAGATCTTTGAAAATAAAAGTTTTACAATTTCATGGATATTTTTTCGTTCATTTCTTCTATTAAAAATATCAATATTTTTTAAATATATGTGCTCAAAGGTTCTTTATATATATGTGGTTATATATAAAGGTTCTCTAAATATATGTGCTATGGTTCTTATTTGTTTAATATTGATTTAATTAAATCTATTATACATTTAAAGCTATTTTAAATAATTTCTACATTTAATTATATATATTTAAATTACAATTTGATGTTTTCTCAGCCCAATCTAACAAACTTTCTCTCTCTCTCTCTCTCTCTCTTTCTCTGTCTTGATTGAAATCTGTAACAATTCTTAACGAGATAAACGTGTAATAAACCGCTTCAGTGCCTTCTTGAAGTCTTCACACAATGCTCAGTCGTAAGAGACCATCTCTCTTTTGAAAAGTCATGACAAATACAAAGTCTTTTCAAAGATGTTTATCCAAGTTCGAGGAAAGTCATTGGAAAAGTTTTAACGAGTGCTAGGTAATAAAGTTTTGCCAGAGCATCCGCATTCGATACAATACCATCACGGTTTGTCATAATTTAAAGAAATTCGTCAATTATATTTTTTCCTGATAAAATCAATCGTTCTTACTGTTTTAATAGTTCTTTTTATTATTTTATATTATTTTATATATAGGATAATTTTAACATCAAAACTAAGAGATTTGATATTTCATAAACTTATTTCAAGAGCAAATTAATAACTATTTAATATAAAAACATGGGATTTTGTTTAACGTTTTTAGCTCATTTAATCATCTGCCTACAATCTGAGATCTTTTGTCCAGCATAAATTCTTTTACTATTCTAGGCTTCCAAAAGCTGTAGAAAAATTGAGAATTAGGTATTTTTCAATGGCGAAAACCGCCAGTGGTGCCATTTTCGTTCTACTAATCATTTCAATTTTTTTCTTTTTTGTGTCAGGTACAGTACAGAATATTGAAAATGTGTAAATACAAATATAAATAATTTTAGCGATGCAAATAAAACCAAAATAACTTTTCTCTATTCGGAAATATAGATAGTAAATCATTAAATCAGCATTTTTTCTGAAATTCCAGTGAGATACCATCGGCAACTATGATGTTAAAAAATCTTTTCAAAACAATATTTTTTAAACAACAATAAATAATATTAGACCGATATGTGAATACACAATTAAGAAAACAATCCTTATTTAAGTTCTTTTTTTTTTATCTTACCTTTATGTCAAGTCAACAGAAACCGAGAAGCATCGTGCATGTCAAACAGGAAAACTAGATTATTCAACAACGGTTCATGTTTTTTATTCGATTCCAAATGGACACAACTCATATATGTGATAATTCAAGACAAGAATTTGCAGCAACGGCGTTGACACATTGGTCTTTTAAATCAGAATCGATGCGTCGAACGATTCACGAGTGCATGATGACCGGTATTCCGTGTATCGCGACGAGTGGTGGTTCGTTTTGATATCCTGCATCGTTGCACTTGATAAATCGTTCTATATTACGAAACAGCGGGAGCTACTATGAGCAACATATAAAAACGAGGAGTAACTGGGAAGATGCATCTAGTGAGCACTTTGTTTCACATCTTCTTTTATTTATTATTATTGTGCGTCTGAGACTGATATTCTTCTCCGTTATTTTTCAAGGAAATATAAGAAGTTATACTTTTACGAAGTCAATTAGTTTTTCGATTTTTTTTATAGAGCGAAAGTTATAATAGTTACAAAAATTATTATACATATATTATAGCGAATTTTTTTTCTAATGTTAATGGAATTAGAACGAGCTAGTAAAGAATATATGCGTAAATCAGAATAAAAATAAATTTTAAAAGTTGTGCCGCACATTCGAAGGCGATTCATTATTCGAGTTGTTCGAATTGAAGCAATTTGTGTATAGATTAGAAAAATAGGAACTTTTATAATATAACTTAAACCCAAGCTATCAATTAATGCCATTTCTATCAATGTGGTTTAATTTTAATTCTAGTTCAATAAACTCTTCATTTTTTTCTAGTTCTAAGAATCAGAAAAAGATGAAGACTAAGTTGAAGACCAAGATTAAAATTAATCTACATTGACAGAAACGGGCATGAGCCTACTAAGAACTTGATCGGTTTAACCGTTATTAAGATTCGATAATCTTAGATACTCGACGAAGTAAAAGAAACACGTCAGTCTTGGAAGTTATAATATCTACATATTAAAAAATATAAAGTGTTTACTTGATACTTGAAACACTACCAGGTACCTAAGAAATTTCGTGTTTTACATATTTAATTGGCATGTTTTTCGTGTATTATTTTCATTCCAGATGTTAAAATGTCTCAACCAGAACTGATTAGCGATCTGGACGTACCTGAAAATCCACAGCACCCCTGTCAATGTTCCACGATTAACAATTTGGATTCTATAAGAACACCGAGGGATAGAATGGAAAGGAATATGAATAGCTCCAGGATCTCTAACAATCAAGATCTCCCGCGAAATTTAGAAACCTTACAGAATGTTTTCGAACCGATACGAAGGTTGGAGAGTCCCCATCAAGATAAATCGCAGATCAATTTGGACAATACTAGAAACGTTGATCTTCTGGAACATCAAGCAAATATATCGTCTAATTCTAGATCCATGAATAATCAGAATTCGTTGTTATCTCTTCATGGACATAATCTTTCGTGCAGTCCTCGTAACTTGGATCTATCTCGCAATTTGGCTTTTGAAGCGGCCCGGAGGGTCCAGGAAACCTCGAGTCTGCAGGACAATCAGCATAATCACAGTTTGACCTCGAGTCCTAGTCCATTGCTAGAGACAGGGCCGAATGTACTTGAGACGACCAGTAAAGAATTAGATAAACAGCTGGAGGATCACGCCGGCTTGTCGCCGCAGAAACAAGGCTCGAGCAAGGAGAAACTGAAAAACGTGCAGCAGGTGTTGAATCCTTATCAGCATCATCACGAAGCGATGGAGCGTGGAGTCCATGGACACTTTCATAACGACATACACAGTCATATTCACAAGCACGCCGACAATTTTAGGAATAACACAAATCTGGACGAAAGCTTGATAGGCTTTCAGCAACATCAGCGACAGCACACACATTATCATCACAACAACGCAAAGACGAACGTCACTCATCACCACACATCCGGAGTACATCACTCACACACGCAAGGAATGACTGGACATCATCATGGAAGTCATCCGGCAACTAGTCTTACTAACCATGTCCATGGAAATTCTGGTTCTCTAAACGGATCTGGTTCGTACTTCCTATTTTTACGATCTTTGTATTAATTATTACAGTATGTAAATGAGTTGGTTGTTGCGTTCTTATTTCAGGATCCGGTTCCATGAATCAAACCAGTTCCGTCACCTCCATCGGACACCACCATCCAACATCCATGCCTATAGCGACTACGATAAACCACCTGAACTCCCCGCACAGTCATCATCGGCTCAACGCTGGTTCCAGCTTGGCTCACCATTCGAACTCTACCTTTCCCAGCGATCATCATGGCACTTCGGGTGCTCTAAGCGGCGCGTCATCGAATTCGAGCATGATGAACCACGGTGGATCGCCTACGGTGCACCGGCACGTAGTCAATGTTACCAGCAGCTTATCGACGACACCCTTGGGTGGTCATCATCACGGCAGCTCGTCGGGTAGTTTAACCGGTCATTCTAGCGTGAACCATCATCACGTCAGCTCCGGTATATCATGCGAGTCCTCGTCGTCGAATGCTAATACTAGGACGCACAGCAGGTTAGATCACGTCCACGATCATCATCATCTCCTACAATCGGTGCACCCGTTGCACGCGAATCATCCCGATACCAGACCGAGAGATCGAGCGCCTTCTAGTTTGGATCATCATGGACATCTCCATGGTCATGTGCACAATCACAGCCACCCGCACGGGCAGAGCGACACTAAAAACGCGTCTCTTATAGGCATCGACGCTATTCAGGTATACAAACCTAGATATCTTATGATTTACTCTACGTAAAAATTGCAAAATTTTCGTACGTGATTATTTTGAGATGCTACAAAATTTTATATCTTTCTCTCTCTGTCTCTTATAATCGTAAAAGGACTGTTTTAAGAAATTAATTAGATTTTGTATGATTGCACTTCAATAAATTTTCCTCGTGCTTTGCCAAATGAGGAGAATGACTTATGCCACCGTTCCGCCCAGCGGCTCGTATATTCCTAGCCGTTTTTGCCGCCACATCTGAGAAAATACATGTTCGTGAATCGCCATATCTCTATCCGCGCACGCTTGAGTTACGTTCGCCGTGTCCTGGCCACGCGAGAAGCTATAAATCGTGTACTAAGCAACGGTTCTGCCCTTAGAGCTTATATCAGGAAATATTTTCAGCCGAGGGCCAAATGTGCAGCGCGCGGACGAATGATTAATGATCGGTGCCCGTTGCAGAGATGTTCGAATTTCACCACGAGTGCGACAAAAAATGTTTTATCGGGTATTCTTTACCTGCAAGTGTTGATAACGAAGCTCTTAATACACAGTTAACATTTAAAAAATCGTACTTCGCTCAAATTTAACTTTAGAACGCTATCGATGTTTTGAATGATATATATTAATATTGATACACAAATTTTACGTACGAATAACTAGATCACTCTTGATTAATGTATAATATAAAATTTATATATATTTCACACTTTTTATAACAAAATATTTATAGATCTTTATATATGTATTAACACAAATAATTATTAACTTAAAAGAAAGAGAGTATCAAATCTTGAAATGATATAACAGTACACTGAAAGAAAAGATTGGCTGCTGCAGCAAATTAAATGATAAAATATGGCATAGCTTTTTTATTTGGCTGCACCAGCCAATTTTTGGTTGCGTTAGCCTATCCGCAATGTCAGTATAGGATTTCGATAGACTAACGCAACCAAAAATTGGCTGTTGCAACCAATTAAAAATGCTTTTTTATTCAGCCAATCTTTTCTTATATAGGTAGTCTCTTTATAACAGTTCAATAAAATCAGGCGACACAGTAGTGTCTCGGCGCTAAGACAAACGCAGCGACACTATATAATATATATTAACACAAAACTGCTTGAAAATTGAAATCACTTCCCAGATAACATTTATATTGTATAAGATATCTAAAAGACGTCTTTCAGATATCATATGCAACATAAATATTATCTGGGTTATCATACTCTCTATTATGATTAGATGATCGCTAGAAGATCTAAACTGATATACGTATAAAAAAGTTTTAAAAGCTTGTTCCTGCTTGTTCTAGTTTTTAGTATGGCAGATTGGATTTTCTAATGAGCACTGAAGGCATAGCTTAGCGTTTAATAACCTCGCCTACTTGCACTTAAAATTTACATACGATAGCATTCTATAGTTAACGATTAATCCTCAAGAGTTAAAGAATTAATTATCGAGAAGGAAAGGGATGTTTGAACCATAATAATGTCATTACTTATAACTTTCACACAAAACACACAGTGGACATTTATTGCCATCAAAATGAATTCATTTTTTATTATTTCAGTACTGCTATTAATATTCGATGGCTCATTCTTATCACGCTTAACGATTCGATAACGATACATTTCAATGTAGATCTTCGTATAAATCTTTATTAGTCATTTCAGAATTACGTGACACTAGTATTACAACTCATTAAATATTCGCGTGATGCAAAAAAATTTTGTTTTATTAAATGCTTTCTTCCTTATTATTCTACTTCATCAGATTATCATTAAACTACCTTGATGTGATTTAATGTAAGTATTTCGACATTTTAGGTCTCAGCTCCAACGAAGAACAAATGTCAATGTCACGTAATGCAATCCGGAGGAAACAACGGAGGAACTGAGGGCGAGAGTGACGGGGGCGTCGAAGTGGCATCAAGAACACATCAACCCCCTGCTCTTCCACCACGTCCGCCACCGAGACCAACGAGACGTTACGAGACGACTACTGCCAATCAATGTAAGTTGCTTTATAATATCTTTATGCATTAGGCTTACAATTTTTATTTATGATAGTAATCACGTTTGAATAAGAAGTTGCTAGTAAAAATATATTAAATTCAACAGTACATCAAACATCTTTCATTCGCCTAATTTTATAAATTTTTTGTAAAATCTAAAACATTTTTTTTAATCTAAATCTTTTTACTTATTATGTTGATTAAATCTTTTGTAAAATCTTTGAATGTAATAATGAAATTTATTGAATAACTTATAATATCGAATAATATTGAATAAATTATAATATCAAACAGAGTTATATTTTTTATTTGATATAATATTATCGCGTGCAATATTTCCCATGCTTGCATATTGATATGAATACTCGATATGAACTACATTAATATTCACTCCACTTAATTTCCATTTAAAATTGAAATATCAGTTAATCGTTAAAACTTCAGCTGGCATTTCCTAAAAATTCGCTGAGTAATTTCGGAATGTTGGCTGGTAGTAGCTCCATCCCATGTCGGATAATTTCACGATTATCCCTATCAATTGCACTATCAGCCGGATGAGGAGGTGGCGATGTTGGCACGCGTTTCTTATCAGACGTGGACGTGCGTTATCGACGACCACGCGTTAGATTTCTACCCCGTTGCTCGGGAAATTGCATCTCTACATTCCTATAGAATTTCAACCCCCGACCGCACCGAGTCGCTCGAATCATCCGGGGGTATATCGACCAGTCGATGCTTGCACCAACCGAGAGTAGGACGATCCTCCCCTATTGAGGGATGTGAGCGACTTGAAAGCGGGCCGACGATACGACAGCCAATGTGCTAACGACGTAACGTTTACGTTCTAAGTGTGCTTGGTATCGTTTCTTTGCCGACATGAAAAAAAACCTGATTCACGCGGATTTTGGACTTGACAAGCACTACTGATCAGCCGCCACCTGTGGGACACATCACAACGTGTCCGCCACCGACGACTGTGAATCTTCTCGAGTGCGCGATTGTCGATACGCGGATTGACTTAAGACGAATAGACGATAAAGATCAACAGGGTGACAATTAGATCGTTTCGGTTTATCGAATATTTATGTGCGAAGCTTAGCATTGAATAACGATCAATTAAGAAGTTGACGTTAGTAATGATTTCCGATGACGATTATTGATGGTGAAAGTGAGTTGACCCAGCCGGAAATGCAAGACGAACAGGTGACCTTGGAAAATGGAGAATTCCCATGGTGACACGTGACCAGTGTAGAATGTAGACACGCATGACAGCGATGAAATGCTTATTATTACAATCAAATCAATTGAATTTTTTTATTATTTCAGTACAGAAAATTTTGAAAGAAGAAGTAAATTATAGATATTTCAAATATATTTCCATGAAAATATAATATGACAATTGTATTATATTACAAAAAATTTTTAACTTAAAGTTTGAAAAATATTTTAAAAAATAGTGCACTATTATTGCTTCAACATCGACAAGCATTAATATCGTCCAATGCAATTCTGAAAAGTGACAAATGCTTTCTTTTTTTAATATCGTCTTAATAGTAAAAGAAATTGTCGATGCTACACGCTACGTTAAATTCTATTCTGAGCAGTTCATATTGATATATAATTCAATGCGAATTCTCTGCGCGAACTATTTTTAGTCTATACACACGTACACAAGAAATCAAATATAAATCAGAAGCTTTACCCGATCTAGCCACAATTATTCAATGCAGTTGTAAGGTTAATCTGTGACGCCATGTAATGACAAATGATGAAACTGTAGTAATCAGCCAGCGGGATTGCTGAAGATTATCGTGAGCTGACGCAAAGCGACACCAGGAAGATGGATGGCTATCCGGTGCTCCAAATAGTGCGTTGTCGCCTCGGGATGGAGATGGACAACCAGGGCTATCCGTTCCCGATGGCGGCACACTCGCACTCGCACTTACCGCATCCGACGAATCACGCGCACTTCCCGAGGCCACATTATTCGCATCCCTGTGGTATGCCGGCAAACCCCTTTCGCTTATCAATCACCCCTTTTTGCTCTCCCTTTGTGCAATCATGTGCATACTTATTAATAGGCACCGCGTGACGCTGTCTTAAGGCAAGGTCAAAGGTTGCGGCGCTTCGCTCTTTCAACGCACGCATAATGAGCTGGATTTTTCTAACATAATATTTCAGATTAATAATTTTAAATTGTAAAATTATAAATTTTAATCAGCGCGTTTTGCTTAAAATTATTCTTTATAAATATTGCAATATTAACGAAGTAATAAATTTCAAACGATTTTCTTCCGTATAATTTTTTATCGATTATTAAAGAATGACTGATGGTTTAGTCTAGCTATTGGAAAATATGATAGGACAATTTAAGATAGCCTGTTCTATAACATTAGGCTCTACTCTTATTTGTACCTTTTTAAACATTAAATCGTAAATTTTCTTAAATGAATATTACTGGACTGATTCATATTGGTTATCATAGTAAAAGTTGTTTTTGATATATCAGCTGTTTACACATGAAATATTTTTATGCATGTGAGGCACCGAAATAAATATCTATAATTTTGCAAGAATTTTTTGAATCAAATTGTAGCATACTTGCAGGATCTATCTTGTAGGATAAATCTAACAAATCTCTTTTTCTCTACCTTCGTGGCTGCTAGTATTACAAATATTTTTCCAGGTAGTATGGAATATTTTAGCAATATTGTAATAACGTTGCAACGTTTTGTACTATCTAGACCTTTAGACATATTTTGTCATATTAAAGCGAAAGTAAATGTTTTGTAACCTTATATCCGTCTTATATACGAAGATCATAAAATTCTGAACAAACATAAAATAACTGATTTGTTCTGGACAAACTTAGGTCGATACTTATTTTGGCGGTAAATATCACAGGTAGTAGGCGTGCCACGACAGATCGGAAGCTAGACATTGTATTACGTCCAAAGAAAACCGCAAAGCTCATCGATTTTCCAACCCCGAATATTTTATAAAGTGGAATGTGCATATGTTTCGACGTTGATGTTACCGATCTCTCATCATTGTCCTCGGAAACGTGAAAACGGTGGATTCACCCTCCGTAGAACGGTATCGAAAGAGCAGTTTTCTTAAAAGGATTCATTCGACTTTTCTTCTCCCTAAGAATTTCCACTCCGTAAATTTTATATCCCGCCTTTGAACGGTAGATTAGGATCACAAAACGCATCTCGCGCTTCAGGTATTTCTTGAAGATATTTATCGAAACTCATACTTGGAGGAACGTATACCGAATCTCTTTCCGGATCTTAAATCGTCTTTTCATCAGATTTTTATTTCAATAGATGCTTTCAAATTTTACCCGATGTATTTTTTATTGAAAACAAATGCAAATTTTTGGCAAACACAATTTATGATCTTCGGTCTTTATAAAAATGTCATACGAGTATATTTTTAACTGCGCTCGCGCTCCAATATTCTATTATTAATCTTCCAATATTTTCTGGCGGTAACAAACTGTACTCGATAAAAAAAAAAGGAATTAATTCTAAGAAAGCTTTTTGAAAATAGGAATATTAGCTCATTGTCTTCAAAGCTACGTGGTATATTGACGCTTGAGAATTCATTGAGAGAGAACTTTCAATACGCGGTCGGCGTACTGGACTCAATAGGAAGCTTTGACAATGGAAATCGAACCCGGATGCCGTCAGACGAAGTAACACACCTGTGTTGAACGTTACAAAAGCAGCATCGTAGGCATTCCTCAACGCGATAGAAACAAAATCAATGGTTTCTGAGTATTTCTACGAGAATTGCAAGATAGGCGAAGAAATTGATAAAAATTTATTCGTACTCCAATATTTTTTAATAAATAATAAATTAAAGCGCCATGTATCAGCTCGATTTAATTGTTCTTTTTTTCATTTTCGTTATACATTGATTTACGGAATTTTATATCTTTCATTTTTGTGATTGTAATCATTTGTGATTGTAATCAGGTGTCTATAAAGGCCTATTCGATGGCTTTAAATGTTGTCCTTTGTGGGACTATTGACCCCTTCTGGGAGAAATCCCCAGCGGGAGTAAACCGTGCTGGGTCTTCGGTTAGCAGGATAATGATTGTCCTCGCGTGAGAACCTAACAACCGTAGTCCTGATCTGGTCACAATGAGAAACGTGCCGCGAGCGAAATTCCACGAATATCCGTAGACAGCGATTACTCTCAAACTCACGTTATATTCCCGTTTCGATAATGCATCGTTGGCGAGATCGAAATTAACTGCAGCCTTGACATCACCAGATTTACGACTCGCGTCATCGATAGTCAAATGCTTCTCGTGTATCATTTAACTTTATTTCTAGAACTGGAGAGAATATTTGATGCAAATATTTAGCGAATTTAAAGCATATTTTTCAAAACGTTTTTAAATGAAAAATCAATTTAGTTTACCATAGATTAACCATCTATAATTTGGGTTCTTTTTGGCATGAAATGAAATTTTACTCTCAAATTTCTTTGACATAAAGGAAGATGGAGTCTGGTTCATTTTTCTAAAATAATCGAGAAAACCATTTGATAATGTAATAGACATGTTGAAAAGTAATCTTGAATTTTTCTACATTTTTTTGAAAGCCTAGAACAGTAAAAAAACATGGGTTGGAAAAAAAGATCTAGGTTTCAGAAAAAGGGAGTAAAATACAGACAGAGAGAGTTAAATGAATTAAATTGAATTAAGTGAATTAAAAGTAAATTAAATTGTGAAATTTTTAGGAAGAGAAAGTAACAACAATCACATTAGTAAATGGATTTAAATCAAGTCGTAATCTTGAATTAGTTATCAAAATATTGGAACCCCATGCACGCGCAAGGCTTTTTACTGGAGCGATTAGAATTTCATGGATCGCGATTTTACAGGTCACACTGGCGATGGTGGTTGCTGCAAAAAGTACGTTGTCCTTTGCTATCTCTGTGGTGGATTGAGCGCGGCAGTCGGCAGCCTTTTTTTGGCGGTACACGCAATCCTTTCGGCCCACACGGATAGTTTAGCGCTCTTCGAGACCGTGCCGTCTTACATTCCCGGAATTATGGTGAGAGACAAAAATCAATCCGGTCGCATTGCCAAATGCATCGATCTTAACGTGCTACCCATTCTAATTATTTATACGCAAAAACATTAAATGTATCAAGCAACAGCATTGAGTAAATTAACTTCAAGCTGCCAAGTTTTTTATGCTGCTGGCATAATTTTATGTACATGACTAATTCCTTTTAATTTTATGAGCTTTCGCGCAGCGAATCTGTAATGCGTATAAATAATTGCTTTATATGTTCAATTACCACGGTGATAGTAATATTTGAATCGCACAGTGATTTAATAATTTGACGAATAACTTGATGAATAATTAATTTGTCGTTTCAGTTGATCCTGATGGGTTTCTTCACAATGCTATTGGCTAGACGAAAGCACAGATACGGACTTCTAGTAAGTTTACCGCGTAAACTTTTCGTCCCCACAGGAAAGCCGTCATTGCCGCTGACAGTTCTGTTATTAAACTGGGTTTATAACTTTTGCAGATGAAAGTCTGCGGTTCTGTGGGAGTGGTGTGCGCGCTGGTGTGCGTGCTCGTCACCGTCACAACTACGGTAATTCACATGTCCCGATTGCAAAACCTTCGCGAGTGCGTTTACACTGCGCGAGCGAGGTATGTATATCTTTCTCTCATTTATATATCCCAGAAGAAATTACGGGGCCATAAAGTGGCAAAACGCCTCGCCGTCATTATGAAACAGCCGTATAGTTTGTGATGATAATAATGTTTCGTCTTATTATATGAAATTCAATCGTCCCTGCTATATAATCGAAATCTCTTTCTCTCTCTCTCTCGTGAAAATGTTAGATAATAAAATAAATCTTTCTTAATTTACCTATTCGCTTTAAATATATTACATTAGAATACCATGTGATCAAAATTTTTCTCAGAACTCTTCACATGATTTTTAAAATTTTTATGTGAATTTTAGAATTTTTCAGAATTTCTGTATAATTTTATAACTTCTTAGAAAACGTTTTATGTAAGTTGGAACACTTTTCAAAGTTCTGAGAAAAATCTGCACATATATCTTTTCTAAAATTCTTTATATTATATATATGAATTCTAAAATATTCTAAGGTTTTTTTAATGTTCTCACATTCTGTAATCTCTAAAAAACTTATAATATCTGAAAAAGTTTTTTTAAAGATATTTTTAAAGAAATTTTTATAAACTTAAAATATGACAAATTTTTCAAAAATTATGAAATATTATGAGAACTTTTTTCACTAGGATATTGATCGTTTTCCAAATGAAAAGTACAGATATTAATTTGAAGCTTCGATGTGATGATTCACACAGATCATGCACATGTTACGGCGCGCCGCAATCGAAGGGAGATCCCGGTGTGCTTTTCGAGGGGACTCCTCACTGCGAAGCGGTGCACGGCGCATTGTCAGATTGCCTAAGGGCCCTTTTCGGCGTCTCGGTGGCCGGTATATTGGCCTGCATATTCTCGTGCATGCTGGTATATCAATTGTTGAGCCACGAGAAGAAGAAGATGTACTGGGAGCAGTTGGAGCTGAGATGCAGATCATTGTATGGTCAAGGCAGCACCGTGGGACCGCCGGCTGGGTCCTGCGGATGCTGTAACGATTGCGGAGGTGCGAATCCGTGGTGGGCCCAAACACCTGGAAATCTATACACGCCGAATCCTGATATGGCGCCATCCAGGTGCGTAAGATATAATAATATTGTTCAGAAAATATATATTATATATTTAAAAGCTGTAGATATGAAAAAGTTTCTCTTTTTAATAAAAGTTACATAATAAAAATATACAATAAAATTCGTATCGACTAAAAACCTTTAAAAATTGCAAACATGCAACATTTAAAAAAAATCTTTATTTTATTAGTGAACTACGTACTATATAATCAATAGCCAATTTACAGCTATTTAAACGTTCAATATACGTTTATATTCAATAAATTTAATTCCTTTAATTTGGATTTTAATATTTATTAACAATTATTAAAGCATATATATCTAATAAAACTGATAGATTTCGTGAATTTTATAAAAAAATTAAGTACAATAAGCATTTAAAAATATAATAAATAAAGAAATACATGCGCGTTTTAATTGTATTTTATATTTTTTATAATTCGTGGATACACATGCTATTAATTAAAACGATGTTTTTTCTCAATTTCCGATATTTACAGAAAGACTTTTCGAGTCTCAGAAACGTATTGCGCTAAACGACGCACCCTTTGAAGTTTACTTTTATTCGCCATGGAATGAACTGGCAATAAAACGCGCAGCCACGCACGTCAATTGGTTTTAAAGTACATACACTAGTACAGAGACACTAGTAGATATTTCTCTGAACATTGTATCCAACGAGATACCCGTCTGGTCTGGCATTGATCCCGAGAGTATGCGAAAAGGACAAAAAGAGAGATAAAAGAAAATTATATTTGTATTGCACATGACTCTCGAATCAGTTCGCAGATTGTAAAGTCTTTGTTGAAGAATAATATCGCAGTTATATAGATATAATCGATAAGACGATACTTTTATCGTAATGTATAATATATAATTTATTTTTAGAAACGTACAGAAATTTTTCAGAAAAATCCTAAAATCGAGAAGAATTGCAAATAAGTTTTTCTAATGTTATTTAGGCGATTAAATCAATACTTGAAAGAGCTTCAAAATATTTTATTTTATACAATATTTATAAAATAATAATTTACTATACTTATTTAATTGTTGTGAAGATAAAAAATGATAGAGAGTTATTAATATAGGGAAGACCGGGGCAAAGTGAGTACCTTTTTTTCAATTGCAATTTTCAGTAACAAAGTAAACGATTTTAGTCAAATGATTATTAGTGTTTTATAGAATGATTATAAGACTACAGATGACAATAAAAAGTTTTTTTGGTGTGAAAATGAAATCTCAAAAATTACTTTTGACTATCGAAAATACGTTTGACTACCTAAACATAATAACGCGGCACCTAAACTAACCAAACTTCGTTGGTAAAGAAGACACACGAGATGCTATCTACAATATAAATTGGGAACTCATAAGATATATTTTTGCCACTCAAAATTCAAATGCCAGCTTAGTCCCGGTCTCTCCCCCCCCCCTATATAATTTTAATTTCTACTAAAAATTAGAAGAGTAAAACATATGATAAATTTAAATAAAAATTGACTTTAATTAGAATGTAAAAAATCTAATTTTTATATTAATAGTTGACATATCGTTTTGCTTTTATAGGAGATGGCGATTACCTTGGTCGAGATCGAGAGGTCCAGCACCGAGCCCAGATTCGAATTATGGTTTTCACACGCAAACACGGCCAACAGAAACCAATGTAGAGAGCGGAACCGGCCCTTACAGTGTCTTTAACTCGCAGTCGAGTGGTCCTTATTCCGTTTTAAATGCTCCGAGTGCTCCATACACTCCGAGCACCGCGTCATACAGCGTTCTAGAAACTCCAGTGCCATTGTGGGGACCGCCACCTCCATACAGCGATCCTAACAGTCCTGCCAGACGACCGCAAATGACCGAATCGAGAACCAGAATTGCCAAGAGGATGGATAACTTTGAAAATAACGAAGGTAAAATGTCAATTATTATAAACTAACATTTGATATAATAATGAATAGTATAATAATCAATTAAGAGAAGAAAAAAAATATATATACATATAAAGAATAGAATCGATGATCCATTAATTTCTGGATATTGATAATTAGAAATTAAGTTGTTGCATTTTTCCGAAATGTTCAGACCATAGACCGAGACCTGCGAAGCGTCCTTCCGATAATTACGAGAACGCCGAGGAGATCTCTAATAGCACAGATCCTGAGGGCGGGAACGAGGGAACCATCAAAGGTAGGAGAGCTAGAAAGCCTTTGAAGGGCGTAGAAAATGGGGCGTTTCAACAAGAAACTAATCCCGGCCCGAAACAATCTGAGAGCGAACTGTATTTCGGTGACGTGTCCTCATGCTGCGGACCCGAGAGTAGTTTTTACGATCTAGCTGTGGAAAAAGAAGGTACTTATTATTTCCGCGACGAGATAGAGTAATATTTCTTATCATAAAAATTTTAAATTAAACTCGTTACTTTGGCATTTATACAGAAACTATAATATCCTTTTTACAATTATTGTTATATTTAAATTAAATTTTTTGACATTAAATATAAATCCGTAAGTGTTTTCTTTTTTATTATTACATATCTTGTAAAAATATTCTTATTTACATTGAAGCTGTTGATTCAAAGAATCAAATTTAATTCAAAGAATTAAATTATTTATTTTTAAATTATTGATTTCAAAGATTAAAACGTTTCTTACAACATTTTTTAAAGTGTTTGACATCCTTGTATTGTTTTGCAGGTGCAGAACATCCGGAAGGCGTAGACTATCTGGCGACTAGGCTGGGCAAGCGTCAACTATCGAAGAGATCTCGATTGCCTCTTCCTTTGCCTGCGGACAACGGCGATATTCCCTGTGATAATTATGCGAACAGCGACGAACCGAGAAGCGCGAGAGGTCCGTTTCTCGCTCCTGACGCACAATATGAGGTGATTCAACAAGGTCGCTACTCCTATTACGGGTCGAAAAATGACGAGGAACAGGAAGGTCCGCCCAGTTCCAGTTACTTTCGAGAAGAGGAGAACGAAAGGGGGCGTGAAAGGGATTATAGGGATTACAGAAACAATCAGGAGGAGGAAACGCCACAGTGTTGTTTGAGCGATTCGACGACTCTAGACTCTGGTTGGCAAAGCGGGGAGCAACAGCAATCGGACGATAATGTCCGACCGGTGAACGTGTGATCTTAGACCCGTAAGATTCTTAGCGAAAACGATAAAACATTGATTTCCTGCCAGGAAATGTTATATGAAAACCATTAAATTAAAGTAGCGAAGAAAATGCCCGACAATAGCTTTTGATCTGTAAATAATTTAGATCGATCGTATGTAGGTCTTGTTCTGAAATAAACAAAGCGACTGAAATTGCTGGGATTCAATCCTTTGAACTTAATTGACGGAATAGAGAAATTAAGGAGAAAGTAGTTTGAGTTCGGCAGATATGATCCTAGTTGGTTGATAACAGGTTCGCTTTTGAAAAGTGTAGTTAAACTTAATTAAAAAGTTAATGCACTAAGTTTAAATAACGTAATGTGAAATACTCTCGATGTGCGTGTCAGTTCATATCGATTTTCCTTTTTCTGAAAAAAGCAGAATTACTAAAAAGATTTATTTAATGATAACATTTCGCGCTTTTTAAATTAAAAATAGTAATGAATGTGATGCATGACACAAATACTTTTTCCATAAATAATAATTTAATAGTTATTATAACTTTATTTTCAATGCATTAAATCCATTAAACGAACATTACATGCTACGATATTCTCATCTCTTCATATTAAAATAAATACTTTTATTTTGTTAATACGTTTTTTACGCGAAGTGATTGACGATGAACTATATCGATGCCATAGAAAGCACAACGCTAATGAAATCCAGACTTTAGTGATAATTTATAGTGATAAAAATAATAATAACATTAAACACAAGTGCTAATCTCGATTTCAACGAGAATGAACTGCCATTAATTTTTCTCGTAAGAAGCTTGTCAGTTTAATATAATCTATATAGATGTAAATTTTCTTCTTTAATTGAAGAGTAGACGTGATTAAAGTAGAATACGATCAAGTGATAATTTATACTAATCCTTGATAAAATCGAACAATATGAACAATTAAAACCGTATAAATGATGCATTATAAAAATTCGTATTCAGCATCAGACATGCATCAACGATCATAATGAACAAAGCGAAGTTAAACTTGATTGTTCATATTAAAAAAATGATCACCTATTAAATAAAAATATTAATCTCGTAGGACGAAATATTCATGGCAAATTCTGTGTATTTTTGCTAACTGCAATGTTGCTCGTGCTGCTCGTAGTAATAAATAATAGTGAGTGTTAATAAGTATAATCGAGAAATTATTTGCGATGAGAGATTGAATAAAGGCGAGTGGGAGAAAATGATAAGGAGAATTAGTTACAAGGTTGGGGATCGTTTGTTGAAAATATATATTCACCAACAAACGACTGTATAACTGTTTTACTAACAATAAGAAGATATTCGTTTTATTAGATATTCGTTTATTATTTCATACTATTTATTTGTCTTGGTAGTAATACACGCTACAAGTATCTTTACCTGATATTTTGCTGAAATTTTAAGTCCATTGCGTATTGGAATTAAGATTGTCGATCAACAATTGTTCTTTGTTGGATACACGATAGATACCATGTACAAAAGTGTGCTTTACTCTTGCCAATTAGGTGTTAGTTGTAAATCTCAAATAGTCGTTGATTATCTCTGATATATCAACGGTATGTTCATAATCATAAGAAATATTTATAATGAGAATTTAATTTTTTGCGATTAATAAATTGTTTCATTGTCATATAATTCTGGTTTATTTCTTATCTTGCTTGGTATCCGCGACTGAAATATTTCGTTCCATATTTTTCCCTCGGTTGAGAATTTTATGCGGATCTTTCATTTGATGTATGAATTTGTATTCCCTTATAAAAGCGTAGTGATTAATTATTTATTTTGATTATTAAAAGCACGATTATTCAGTACTTTTAATGTTCAAAATAAGCAATTAATTTTTCATCTGTCAGTATTAAAGTGAATTTCTGTAAGAGTTGTTATTATCAATACTTATTAATGAATTACTTATTGTTTAATGTTCTTTAAACATTACTCTCTTCAGAATTCAGGTGGACCAAGGACAATATGGAAAGATTAATCAAACTAATTAGATTACTAGAATACTTGTCGATTGTCTATTTTCGTTACCGGCCGCTCAAGACACAAACGTGAATAAAATGCATATTTTATCATTCAAAAGCATAGTCAAAGTGTAGTGAAAAAACTTATGATGCAATTTAGAATGAAGTGTACCTTAAGGGCGAGCCGCGAGTCGTAAGTCCGTTGCACCATTGAACAATGTACTTGACAATGATTAAGAATAAAGGATGATTTTGCGAAGAATGCTGCGCACAATACGACGGATATGATAATCCTCTCCTTAAACCGTGGCTTGTCCTTCATATCACAAAAAAATTATTCGATATGTAATAAACGTGATAAGCCAAAGTGGAAATCCCATTGCATGTTAAATGTAGGTATATATATATCATAAAATAGAAATAATATTTATTTCAGAATATATTTCTTTGTAATGTTCGCTATGAGTACAATGTCTTTTGTATTATCCATTCAAATCTGTACAGTACGAACACGAATGCAACTTCATGCACGCGAGTAAACGTTCGAAAGGAATGCGGATTCTAAAGTGATATTGCTATTGTTAATAGTTTCCTTAGCTAATATCAGTAGCCTCGTTGGCCAATATTGAATTGCTTGATATATCGTAACAAGTCATTAAACTTTCACAATGAGTATATGAATTAAAGACAACGCTTGGCACCTAATGTCATTTTCAATTCGATTTTTAGATCGTGAGACACGCAAGTTTTACGAGTTAAAATTTATATTTATCGAGAAATGTTGCAGTCTTATTAAATATATCGTGTAATCAGTTTATATATGTTAATTAATCAGCATTACTAAATCTATTAATTAATCAATATTACTAAAGCTATTATTAAATAGAATCTGTAACATATTTTTTTTTAAATAATATTTTTTTTCTCTCTAAACATGATTGAAATTCTGTTTACATGAGAATAAAATGTAACTTCGTATTGTATCGTAAATCGGAATTTCGTAAATATTATCAGAACTTCCACAGAAGCTAGAAATGTTCTAGATATTGCTACACAGATTGTTAAACAGTAATATATGTATGTACAATATATGAGATTCGTATTACAATGCACGTCAATTGTTTTTGTACTGCATGATGGAGTTTAATTAATGAAGATTGCGAGCACATTCGTATGAAATTCAATGATACGCTTATGTTGTATATACATATAATTATCGTTTAATAATCGCGTTAAAGTAACGGTTTTAAATAAATAATTTGCTTATGTAAATAATTAATGCTTAAATAAATGCCTTAAATAAACGGCGTTTAATTATTCTTGATCGAAACTCAGTTGCAAACTGTTTACAGAACATGTAGTCAATTAATTATTCTCGTCCGATTAAGAATATGAATCAATATTAATTCATCGAATTGTGAAAGATAACACAGACGACAGTCTGCTATAGCAAGTAATAGTAAATAATTCGTATTGTTTTTATTGCTTGCCACTAAGATCGCCGTGCAATTTACCTTTGAATAAGCATTGTCACATATCTATCAAAATTTGGTTTGTTATTTTAATATTGTACATACAATAAGTAGAACGTATATTATAATTACTCTAATATTTTATGTTTCTACAATTAAAAGTAAAATGTATGTACATATCTGCGTCACAAAAAGAAATGAGTGTAAGTAATAAACAAGGTAGTATATGCTAGAAGAAACTGAGATCGATACAGTATTATATTATCTATAGTATTAAAGTAATAATAAAAAATAATTAAATCGCTAAGTGCAAAAAGGACATAAATCCAGGATTCACAAAATTCCAGATTTAAAAAAAATGATATGTTACATCCTATCAACATAAAAGCTTTTTTGATGAAATTTTTGAGTGGCCAACAACTAAACTTAAAAAGCAATTAGAAAAAAATTTTTTAATAGTCAGTATGTTTTAATCTTCCCCGGTAATGATTTTTGTTAAATAATTTCATAAATGTTGTCCTATCGGGGTTGGATTATCTTTTCTTCATTTTATTTTAATTTATTCTTGTGACACCATTATTATTCTTATTTAAAATTCCATAATGTTGCCAGCAGAGAATTAATTCCAGTGTTTTCGAAATTGTTTTGTTTAAATTATCTCATATTGTTTAATATATAAAGAAAGATAATTATTATTTAACATAATTTAAAATAAATAAAGTATCTAAACAAATTATAAAGAATCTTTGATTTTTTTATCGATTCAATTTCAGGAATATTTAATAAAAATGTTACGAAATATTTCCAGATTCTAAAGTAACGTATACTAACATCGTGAAAAAAAGATGAATGAAAAATTTTATAAATGTTTTTAAGATTTCTACGAAAACTCTATTAAAATTAGAGTCTATTTTAGAGTTATTAGCTTCAAGCACCTTCAACAACTCTATCCGTTGCTTGATTTGCTAAGAATCTCTTTCTTTCCCTGTATTCTCTATTAGATTCCGGTAATGGTAATCGCGGACCGATACCATTATCAGCGAGTCCTTGCAAATTCTGAAGAGCTTCGGACAGCCGGCGATCGTGATCCAAGATGTCCGGTTTGGGTGCTGGAGGTTTTTTCTTTTGCAGTGGTAACCTCGTCGTCTTTAATTTGACAATGACATTACCGTTTTCCGGCAGTTGATTCATCATTCCGCAAAATGCAATCTTTGCACTTAGTAGCGACCAGAAGATCTCCAAAAGAGAAGCCATCAAGACGTTTAAAGTAAGCAGCATTCTGGCATGCGAGGAGTTCTCAAAATGGCTATGCCGGAAGGTCTCAGTTTTTTCCTTCGTCAAATTCATTGATCCTTGTGTAACGTTCATTGTGCTTTTATCCTGGAAAATTTCTCTGGATATCATCATCCTTTCTTCAAACATGAATGACGCTTCCGTCATCGTGGGATCATTGCGATTTTTAGCATTAATATGAAAGTCTGATGTATTAAACTCGATGTTGGGAGATTTGAATGTAACAGGTAATTTAGTAGAATCGTTAATTTTCAAGAAGTCATAATCTTCAGTGAAGTTAAATGAATAATCCTCGGTCGACATAATATCCGCATGACTATCATTTGTGAAATCGTTGGCGGAATGAAGGGAATAATGCGGATCGAGGATTTTCTCCAGCGGCCACACAAATCCATTGGTGCTGTTGGAAGCTGCCGCAACGTCGAAGATCGTAACGATGAAGCAGAGGATCGCTGCTACCAGAGAGAAGAGGTTACCGTAGAAGAAAATAGTGATGTTCCGGTCGATGTACCAACGTCGCCAAGCGAGGAGACCTGTCACGAACGGCACCAGGCATGCAATAAACAAAATCGGGCCCTGCAAGGACAAGGCGAGGGTACCCAGGAGGAGGGACAGCGCTCCGAGGCCAAAGTGGATATATAGAGACGACAGCGGTGGTTTTGTTTTCACTTTGATAACGTACACGTTCTCCGTCATTGTCTTTTTATTAAATCGCGATTAATAAGCACTTAATGGCACCAACAATTTAATTCGAGGGATCCGATCGAGAGAAAAATTACATTAAGCACAATGTATTCGGCATATTTATTCGACATAAACTCAATTCATGTAAGTTCGCACAGTTCATTGTCTCTCTCACTCATATCTTTAAAAGTTTACATTTCCATAAATATCATCCAATGTCGAAGAAGCATAGATCTTATCCAAATGGTTTGTAAAGCATTCTTTCCTTCCTTGCACTGTCAAATAAAAAAATTAATAAAATGTAGTAAATATTTGTTGTGTTACAAAATACATATAATAAAAGAATCATAAAGATAAAATATTTCATGAATGTATTTACAGATTAAAATATTATACGAGATAGAAGTTGATATAACTTAATACAAATTTTTTAATATATAACAATATATCAAAACAGGGTTCTTATCGTTCTCATTATAATTTTTATTAATTTAAAAGATAAAATAATACAACGTCTCTTTAAATGAGATTTTCACATTTTTTATTTATATTAATTTATTTTAATTATTACAAGCAGTATAATAAATTGTGTATATGTACCAAGCGCAACGTAAACTAGTAATTTGATTGATTGGAAAGCGGATTATAAAGTTGGAAAATTACGCGAACGATTGTGAATAATCAAATGAGTCACGATGCGCGATAGCAACAATCTTACAATCATTTATGATTATACCGGACATGTAATCCATAATCAAATTTGAGACAAGATCAAATCGGGAACGTTTATAATGGGTGAAGTCGACGTTTTGTATAGTAAAAGAAGTTGCATCTATACTTCCGCGTTGCTATTGAGAACAACCGACTAATTATAGTAACCGCTTTTTTACTTAATTGAAGTCTTCGTTGATCTCCGCAGATTTTCCTCCATGCGCGGCGACTTATTGTTAGAAGAAGAGATAGAAGTTTTACGCAATCTATGAATAACAATCGTTCGCTCATGACTGCAGCCAGTCGCGCGCAACACAGAGCTGACACCATAATAAACATTTCTGTCATAAGTGAAGTGAAAGAATAAGATTTTATTGAATGAACATATTTCAAAATTGGTATTTTTTACTTTAATACTGAAACGCTATACAGAATAACGTGAGATTGAAAGGAAATTGTACGCGGTAATTGAAGCAACATTCAAGTAAGGAATTTATTTCAGAGCTGCAACTAAATTAATCCAAAACCAGTTTTTATCTTGTAACTTGGTTTATATTTATTCGTGCGACTGATTCAGTTAATAGGCTGAAGGATTCGACGCGTCGTTACCGTCGATCTTTTACTTTTTTCTCGTTCTAGTATTATGTAATTGATTACGAGACGTTGCGATTATGTTGCAAGTGTGCTCCTGTTCCTTTGGTATTCGTTTTTACGTCGAATTAGTACAACTCGTGTGAATCTTCGGTGAAATTTCTGACGAACAATGAACGTGTGTTTCAAGATAAATAATTCAAACATGTAATAAGAATAAACTATATAAAAATTTTATGTATAAAAATGTAAAACTTTTTCTTTTTATTTCAATGTTATTGTAAAATGTATAATATATAAAATTTGAGAAATTAAATATCAAATTTTCGAGAACTATACTATTTCTATTATTTCTAGTTATATTAAATTTTATAAATATTGTTTGATCCAAGTAATATTAATTTTACTATTAAAAAGTTTACAAACCTAAATTATTTTTCAACATTTACTACATATAATAATTGGTATACAACTCTCTTAATAAAAAAGATTAATTTTATTAACACATACTATATATCACATAAAACATTTTTTTTAATATCATGAGATAATTAAATATTTATACATTAATTTAATGTGTTGTATTAATTTTATATCAACTTTATGTTCATAAATATACAAATGTATAATAATAAGAAAATGAAAATGCACATCTAACAAAAATATGATTACGTAAGTAATAATTAAATTTTTCAAATTTTATTTTATTAGCGAACTTGTCTAAGAAATGTGTGTAATAATTACTGATGGTAATATATCGATCACGTTCGATACTTTTTCCGCTCTAAGAATTAATTTCGGTTCAATCAACTTTCAGAGAACACACTTTCGGATATTGTATTTCGATAACATTGAACTCACGGCTTGATAAACGATCACTCGCGCGCGGTACTTGAGTAGTGACTGAACTACGAAGACTAGTCTTCGTTGAAATTGCTATGAAATACTGAACGAGCCTCCCACGCAACTCCGACTTGCAGTGAAAGGGACAACATAGAACAACGCCGGATAAGCGTACCTTTGACTAGCATTAAATCCTGTTCACATCATCAGCATCTCATACTTGCGCGGCAAAACGATCTTGGCAATGAGAGATAGATATTATCTTGCATTTTTTCTTTACCGTACATCACATTGTTATACATGCAAATATACAAGAAGAAACAATGGAAGTACGAATAAATCAGAAGAAAATTATAAAAATAATTACTTTTTAAGTAATGAAGTTTCTTTGTTGTATACTTGAATATTTTAATAAAAAAAAGAGCAAAATGTTAATACATTATCATAACGAAAATCTATGTATTTAAGTATGACTCGATGAACTTTTTGGAATAATAATCACCTTACTTGTCTCTCACGAAAACCCTTCCACTTGGTGTGAAAGTCCCGTTATAATCGAAGATAACTCTCTCAGAGAGCAAATGTATCCCAGGGTCTTAGCGCATGAGCCAACCTTTATTGTTAACTGTAGAAACACGTGAGTTCAGCATACGACCTTTTCGATGGATCATCTGCAGATTATATTGCGACAGAATTCCCATAGAAATGCGTAAAACAATGAAGAAGCGGTACAAAATCTTTCAATTGTTACTATTTAAATTACAGTTAAATTAAGTTAAATTACAATAAATATAAAAGAATTACTTTTTCAATTTGATGCTTTCGAATACCGTTTTATGATCGAATAAACCAAGAAATGATGCAAAAGAAGTTTCTAGTAAAAATTATTTTAGATATCGAGGTCATCTACTATTATAACTAAATTGATCATCATGATTGTTAATAATCCTAAGTTAGAACGATATTTGAGTTAATATTCATCGCTTTTAACTGCAGAGAAATTTGATCGTAGCCAATTTAATTATTAAAAATTACTGATTTTCTTTTATAGTGAAACTAGTTATAAATATATTTTTGATTATGTAAGCATCATGAATTTCTATTTAATGTGGCATAACCTTATCTAAAAGCATACAGAATATAAGAGATAAAATCGTAACACGTCTCTTCAAAATTTCTTCAACGTTTCTTCACGATAATAATCATGGATGCATAAGGACTAAGATTACCTAATGCGATTGCTTAACTGATCCTAACAGGATTATTGTTATTAATATCGTTGTATAATTAAGAGGACGATCGAGAAAGTATAGTTTAATAGAGCTGCGGCAAACAAACTTGCGCATTACACCATAACGGTATCTCAACGGATCGCAACAATCTATTAAATTAAACGAAAGAGGGAACTTTCACGATGTTGCAGCAAAACCGTCGATAAATTATTCATGCAAAAATTATGAAGCGCTTTCGAGAAGATCGAACGTTGGCACTGGAGACATCGAACTTCCTGTAACATCGATTGAACCGCAAACTCGTTCAAGCGGACGAAGTTGCGTTTTAGAAAGATATGCAAAAAATCAAATCCTACTGCGTGACTTCGTATACATGGAGATAATCACGATCAATGCATGATTTGTTGCATGTAAAAACAAGTCGTGCATTAAAGATACAGTTAGACGTTGCTTGCTTTGCTTGGCATTATTAATTGAAATGAGCAATATAATATATTTAGCATCGCATTTTATTATAGATTTGAAAATATGACAATCACAAGAAATAATGAATAAATAGTCGCACATATCTAGATTTATTTAGAGATGTAAATATAGAGAGTAAGTTCATCAACTATCGTTTCTCATGCATCATTGATACGAAAAATTTGTATAGATGTGAAAATAAAGAACCTTTTAGAAATTTTTTAATTTTTTTTAAAAAGCAAAGACCAGGTAAAACACAGTCATAATGATATCATAGGACGTCATCATGACTCATGTGTTACTTATAAGTGAACTTATAAATGATAAATAAGATCATGATGACTATTATGACTTTTGCGTTCTATTGTACTTGGAGAAATGTTTGGTAAAAAAATCTGAAGTCACCTACCGTAAGTCGCACAACAATTCGATTAACAGTTCGAGCGTGAAAATATGTCGATCAGAGGATCGATCTGGTTTCTCTCGTGATATCTCCTCGTTTTCTCTGTACTTTCACGTCAGCGTGCATCTGTAAAAATGCCCCGAAATGCGTGCTTTTGGTGTTTTCGTCGTACGGGCCAAGCGCGCCGTTTCGAATCCTTTCATTAAAGTGACTTTTCGGCCGTTAACGTGCCGGTATGCCTAAGTGTACGAGAGACATATACTCGATACTCGGTGAGCAAGGCATACAACATGTTTGCGACCGAAATGCATTTGTGTTGGAGCAGCTGTTATTCTATCGGGGCACGCGTCTCAACGGTCGTGGCAGCTGCCCAGAAAATCAACTATGGTATCCTCACTCTGAGTTCTTTCCACGACAATGTAAATTGCAGTCGTTTTTGTTTTGTACATGCATGTAATTATACTTTTACTATAAAATAAAAAATGTTTTTATATTATGTATTAAAATATAAAAATTAAGATAAAGTAATTTGAAGTATGTAAACAATAGAAATTAAATCCACAAGAACATAATAAATAATTTGTGCGATATAATAGTACAATGTTTATTTTTAACATCATTTCTTTCAAAGTTTCTTTTTTGTAAAAAAAATGCTTGTTATGTTTAAACATTTTTAAGTATTTACTATGGAAAGAAAAATATACGCTTGTTGTTTTCATACATTTTTTATGTATTTACTATAAAAAGCGAACAATTATTTATAATATAATGTTCAAGAACGTCATAGGTTTCGCGTAAATATTTATATTAAATCGCGAAAGTCTCATAATTTAGTCAAATGATTAGCATGTTCTTTGGCAGGCATTTAAAGTTTAAATTACATCATCAAAAAAGTTGCTCGAACAACAGAAGTAACGGTCGAAACCCTGGGCGAAGTATATTATAGTTGAAGGGTCCCCACTCTATGAAGGGACACCGGGC